CCACATCCTGCTCCTGTGAAGCCTCCGAGGCCAAACCAGCACCGCAGACCTGGAGAGACCCGGGAGATGGGGAAAAAATAAAAAAAAGAGCAGTAATTAAAACCAAATCTCGTAAAAAAGGGTCTGTCTGCAGCAATGCACGTTAGGGAGGGAGGGGGGCAGGTGCCCAGGGGCAGGGGGCCGGGCTGTGGGCGGCTGGGGCATCCTGGGGGCATCCTGGCATCCCTGCCGGGAGGACAGAGGGACAAATCCCACCTGGACCGAGGCTGGTTCCCCCCTTGCTTCGTGCAGGGAAGGCTTTTCCAGGCAGCGCCGGGGAGAGCAGCGCTCACAGGAGCACAGGACTCCGCTGCTGCTGCCACCCCACTGCCGGGACGGCTCAGCCCACAGCTCCCACTCCTGCAGCACGGGATTTCCTCCAGACAAGCTCCCCAGGGCGGCTCTCAGCAAGGGAGGATGGAGCCGAGCATGCGTGCCTTGGTGTGCTGCCAGCCCGAAAATGCCACCACCCAGCCTGGCACCTCTTCTGAAAGCACCAGTGACCTCTCCATCACCTCCTTCCTTGGCTGCATCCTGGCTACCATGTGCCTGGTTGGAGCGGTGGGAAACATCTACACGCTGGTGGTCACCCCTGGCTCCTTGTACATGTACACTGTCAGCCTGGCCCTGTCCAGTCTCCTGTACTTACCCACCGTCCCCTTCGTGGTCTGCACGTACTTTGTGCGGGACTGGTACTTCAGAGGCCTGGGCTGGAGGATCCTCTTCAGCCTCCACCTCCTCACCATGCACGCCAGCATCTTCATCCTCACCAGCATGAGCCCTAAGCACTACCTGGCTGTCGTCAGCCCTCTGGACACCCTGCACAGGTCAAGGGACCACTGGCGGGTTGTCACCTGCCTGGGGTGGCTGGTGGCCTTCCTCCTCACTATGATCCTCATCAACCTGCGCACCAGCCCTGGTGATGGGGTGACCAAGCACATGTACCATCCCTGGCAGATGGGGCATACAAGGTGTATCTCACTGTCCTCTTCAACACCTGCCTCCTCGCCCTGAGCCTCATCATCTGCTGCTTGTACCTCTACAGGAGGTCCCAGTGGGCTCTTGTACCGAGGAAACCAGCTGATGTCCCGCCCAAAAGGTCCTGTGTATGATCTTCAACATGCTGCTCGCTCACTGGGCTTGCTTCTTCAGCATCTCTTGGTATGACCAGGGCGACCCGGGGGGCTCTGGAGAGGACAGGTGCCCCCCACAAGCGGTGGGTGCCCGTGTTGCACACCAGTGTGCCATGGGGTTCAGCCCTTCTGCTGGGGGACAGGCTGCTGTTGCTGCCTGCGTGGGGCCGTAAGAGATACCGAGTACGGCAATAAATAAAAGGATAAAAGTCAGGTCCCCTGCGGCAAGGCAGCTCTGAACACTGAACTTGCCTGAGCCTTTTGCTAAACACCTCCATCGCAGTTTTTATCTGGGAGCTCTACCTAAAACTAGTTCATTGTCAGATTAGAACAAGAAACAATTTCCCAGAGGGAATCAGGGCTCCGGGCTCTCATGGCGAGTCCTCTGGAAACCGCTTTTCCAGATCCTTTTGGCCAAACCCTTCGAGATGAGCAGTTTGCTGAGGGCTCCCCATGGACCACGCACCACCAACATCTCCCCCATCCGGTAAAAGGGGGATAAAATTTCAGAGCTTGGGAAGGTTTCTCTTGCAGATCTGGTCCTAAAACCTGGCCAAGCACCACGACCAGTGCCAGGGTCTCCCCGCTCCCTACACAGGGACCGCTGTGGCTCGGCCACATGGTTTCCAGCCACAGCCTGACCTTCATTTCGGGTACCAACTGCTTCTGGATTTGGGAGAGAGATCGGCAAACTTGGCACAACTCTCCCACAGCCATCTGCAGAGCCACGCTTACACCACACCCCCCCCCACGTCCCCCCCCAAAAACCCCTCTTCTGCAGGCTGTAAAAGCCAATTTGTGGTACAAGAAAACAGCCTAACCTCCTTCCCCTCATCTTACATCCAGCCGTGAGCTCTCCAGGCAGATTTTCTTTTTTTCCTCGTCCCGTATCAGGGGCTCTGGCTCTCTAGTAGGATAGAGAGTAAGACCAAGGCTGGGAGAGGGTCCGCAGGAGAGGTGGGCATCGTTTGCACCATCCATCCAGCAAGTAGTTGGGAGATTGCAGAAGGGGGTTATAAGTTTATGTAACCCTTTATATCAACCCTCCTGGCCTCGTTTGGTGTTGTTTCAAATTAGTACCATCAGAAAAGAGCGGCAGCATCCTCTCCTCCTGCCCTCCATCCCCCCACACCTGCAAGGACTTAGTCTGTGATTATTTACTGGCAAAGCTTCGGGGTTTTAGTTTTACCCTAAGCCACATGTGAAGAAAGGCTGAAAAGGGAAGGGAGAGGGAAGGTTTAGCGAGGCATCAAACTGTAAAGCACCAACAGAAAACAAAGTTTTCCTTGTGAATTAAAACCCATTCTGCTCTTTTTAAAGCACATGCTCGTGGGCAGGGGCTGTCTTTCCCCAGGCAGGCAGAGTGCCCAGGACACAGGAGCATCATCATAAATCAGAAAAGCAATTGCCACTACAAGCCCAGTGCTCCCGCTCGTAGCCTGGCTTTGTACGTCCCTGCAGAAAAGAGGCAGACTGGAAAATTCAACTTGAGGAATTTAATTGACTTGCCAAGCTTTCATAAAAGGGACAGTCAATTACTTCAGCTCTCTGAAGAAACAGAAATATTAAATTTTTTATCAGGTCTTCAAAAAGTTCACAGAGTGCAGACATCCTACAGCAAGCCCTCCACAGCACACCGCATCCACTGGAGCAGGAATCCTCTTTTCTCTTAGCTATGTCCACATACCAAAAAGGATACCAGAAATCGAGAATACTTCCCCAAAAGTATTTACTAAAGAAAACACAAAGCAGGAGCAGCGTTTGACAGAGCACTGAAGGACTGGCAGCATTTCTTGCTCCAAGCCATCAGGCAGAAGTCATTCGGTCCCTGCCGCTGGCTGAAACAAGGGGGTGGGCAAAACCAGCTCCCCACTCCTCTGCTCATGGTAGGTTATGGCATTTGATCGTATTGTGAAGTTACTCAAAGGATGAAAAACATTATTGAATTGTTCCCCCCACTTTAAAAAAAAAAAAATAAAATGCAGATATTAAAGGAATCCTAGCTTTCAGCTTCCGAGGGGGAGGGTTCTGCTGCTGCGCACACCAGCACCGAGCACGGCGTGATCGCTGTCCTCAGACTCGGACCTGTCTGTCTCCACTTGCAAAACACTTAATTAGAAAAAAAAAAAAAGAAATAAACTGGAAAGCTGAGATTCATCAGCATTACTGCATCTTTCCCCAACTCTTATTAAAAGTGTGAATTCTTTCCTGAAAACTGAGGGTTTGGAAAAAATAACAGGACAAATAATAAGGTAAGAAGGGAAAAAGATCAAGGCTGGTAATTAATCAATTAAAGAATGAATAAAAGGAAGTGGAAAGGAGGACTTTATTTGGGCAGCCCACATAAAAGTGTTAAATCAGCTGCATTTCCCTACCTGGCCCAGTGGCTCAGCTGCCACAGCCCCAGTCCCGCCGCAGAGGTGCTGGTACTGAGCACAGCGTGAGCCGGTCCTGTGAGGGAACGCTGACGCTCTGTTCACGAGAGACCAGTCGCTGCTGCACCACGCTGAGCCTGTCACACAAACGATTCAAACCATTTTTTGTTAAATCTTACTCAGTATTTTGTAATGCTGCCCAGTTCTCAAGGACAGCAACGTTTTTCTGCTGTCGCCACCTTTCACGCCCTGCCTTTGTCCTCCACCCCCATCTCCAGCCAAGCTAAGCACAGCACCACCACGCTTTAATTACGAGTGTAGCAATTTTCCTGTGACTTCCATAAATATTTTAACAGACAAAATGGTGGATACCAAGAGTTTAAAGTTGTGAGTTTATTGCATATGTAACAAAAATGAACATGACCTCCTGGGTCCAGCCTACTATACAATCACTGTTTATTCCAGCTGGTTCCATAACCACATTAAATAGAACTAGTATTTCTTTAAATACTTTGATTTAGACATAAAATGAAACATTAGTGTACAACTTTCACAAAATAAATCTGCAATAAAAACAGTGGGAAGAATAACAAGGATAGCAGCAATACTTAAACATGACATTACAAAATAATAAATTAAAAAAATACATTATAAAGTGGTTGAGGAACAAAAAAAAAAATTAACAAATTAAAAAAAAACAGATCCATACTGTGTTTCTGGGAACTTGCTGTGCCACGCGGCCCTGAACCTGGGCACCAGCTCCAGAGGGCCCAGTGGCTGGATCACTAATTTACAAAATCTGTTGGATTTCCTAACCACCTCGACTTGAACTAAGCACGTACTGCTGAGCAAACGCCGATTTCACCACCTGGAGCTTCGAGCAGCCTTTTTGAAGCAGGGTCTCGTCTAACATAATGCCCAAGTTAACGCTAACATTCGTAAAACAGTCTCGCTTCTTCCCGATTTAAAACACGAGCAAAGTGGTGGTTTCCTACATCCCTGAGCATATAGTATAGGCTGATGAGCAGTATCAGGGCAAGCACTGAAGGTCTGTGCCAATGGACCAGCTTTTAGGTTTGCCTTTAGGACAGGAACAAAAGACACGCTGTACCTTGCATTTCCTTCGGGTCAGATCCAAGAGTTTATCCGTGTACAAGGTGGAACGTGGAATGACAAAATGAACACCAGACTTCGATGTTTTTCTTTGGGCAAGTTTGAGAAGTAGCAACCAGTTCAAGTGCTGGCAGACCAAGTGAGAATAAACATACAAATTCAGACAGCTGAGGTTACCCGAGCAGCTCCCGAGACCTCAGGGAGTCAATGGCTCAAGCCGTGCAAACTCTTGTTTGCATTTCATCCTTCCCTGGCCTGGAAATTGGCCACAGGAAGAACAAGCCATCGCTTAAACCCCATTCTGTCTCACTCCCTCCTTTTCCTTCATCCACCCAACCAGCTTTAAGGCCTGCCTCAAATACATGTACAGAACAATACAAAAAGATGTCTTCATCGTCACTGAAGGGGCACAAAATTGCAGAGACAACACGATGGGAGAGGTGGCGAAGCCGTTTAAAAAAAGAACTGAAATAATTAAAAAGACAGTGCCCTATTCTCGTTACTGTCAGCATGGAGGAGGTACCTTGACAAGGGCCTTTAAATACAGCAAAAAACAGACGGACTTTTCAAAACAACGATCCTTGCCTATTCTTATTTTGTGCATTCAATAAAACACTGACCTAGCAAAGACATTAGGAACTATCATATGTCAACTGTGTCATTGACATAAAGCTACTCGACCTATAGATCTCCAAATCAAGGGCCTTTACCTTCACCTTGCTTGGTGTTTACTGAGCCAGTTGTGCTGCACGTAGAGCTTGCGTGATAGGATTTTTGTTAGTAGTGGGCTTCAGTATCTGGGTTTTTTTTAAACTCTTTTAGTGAAAAATCCACATGAGACTGCATGCAAAGCTTTTGGGCAATAATCCATTTTGCTTTTTTTTTTTTTTCCTGACTGGTTTATTGCACATTCAAACGTAATGAAAGGATTAAATACACTCTATGAACAGGTACGACTTCACAGCCATTTCAAAAAGCCAGGGCTGTGGGTATTCTGCTACTCAGCCCAAGACCGTACAAGATGCTTCTCCGCAGACAGTTGCGTTTCCTCTCTTTTCCGCAAAAAGTTTCATTTACGTCCCAACAACCAGTACTGCAGAAACTGGTCCCCAAGTGCCAAAAGATTCCTACAGAACATGGGTCTAAATATGCCTCTCCTGTACAGTCTTGCAGGATGAGCATCTTTAGCCACCCCGTGCAAATCTCACAATATGGTACAATTTTACACCTCCAATGCAATCCTTACTCCCAACAACAACTCACAAGAAATATGGTCAATGGGGAAAAAAAAAAAAAGAAAAAAAAAAGAAAACCACAAACAAACAAAACAGAGAAAGATGCCAGGGTTTTGACAAGTGTCTACTTTCTGTCCTATCACAGTTTAAAGCTATTATCAAATTCAATTAAAAAAAGACAAAATAGAAGTATTCCAGTAGACATCTTCTAAGAACGATCTCTTACCCACAGCTGAATTTCAATGCACTATTCCAT